ATGTCTGAGCTACTGGGTCGAAGTTCAGGGCCTGTCACGCGGTGATATTCTCCGGTCCAAGCATGTTTCTTGGAGTGATGTCATCTTTTGGCGTAACATCGTCAGCAACTACCGAAGGATCATCTGTTACGCCCGCTATGGATGCACTTGAGTATTCCTACAGATGGCGCCAATTGTGGAGAAGTGGTTTGGAAATACTCTAGAATCTAGTCAGACGTCTTTGATCTTCTGATTGTTAGCTAAAATAAGGATGAACACTCCGGTCGGGGTTGCCGGAATTAGCACTTCGACGGACAAGTTAGTATTCTCTCTAGTTTACTTCTATTTCAAGTTACTTCCTCTATTCTTACATACCTACTTTAGTTGACATTTCTCCCTTTTTATATTAGCACTGGGCCCGAGGGTCGGGCCCACTCTTGATCTCGCACGTAGTTACCTAGTTGGCCTTCCAGTTGAGTGTTGGCTTCTGTTCAGCTCCTTATACGGCCGATTCGTTTATTCAACTTTATTAGCCCTTGGTCAAGGCTGAATTACTTTGGCCGGATGTCGATCAAATGCCTTGGCCTCTTCCTAACTGATTTTATTCGGCCTCTACGATTGTCATAATCCAAAGGGAGTAACTCCAAATTGCAAACCTTCCTAAAACTCCTATCCTTGAACTTATCTGATATGACTTTACCGGGTATGTATAAGATCAAGCATGAGTCCCTTTCAACTTCTCCTCCAACCAAGCAAAGCACATCCACTACATAATCCGGAGTAAACCTATCAGGGTACATACAAAACATCTCCGAAAATGCTGACACACCCAAGTAAAGATCGACAATGCATTTCACAAACCACTTAGAATAATCACTATCCATTTCATACACATCAAATTGGGGACACCATTGTCCATAATCCCTAATATAATGTAGATGACCTCCAAACTCTCCAAAATTGAGTATTTTGCCTATGTGAAAATGACAAGACATTGGCATTGACAACAATTTCTCTCGATTCAAATCATAGTATATCGAAGTTTCTGAGTTTTGAGAGGGCCAATGAATCTTACCATTCAAGAACACACCATTTTCAAAGACAATAGTATGAATGTCGGCAAATCGTTCCCCAGACCCCATCCAAACCCTAGTTTCCGACGAATAGACATCAATTCGACAAACAGGACCACGGCAATCGAACTAACAGCAAGTACTTGATAGTGAATTGACACAAATGGATCAAAAGCCAACTTCATGTAAACTGTAACATGTTTAGCATAACTTCAAGGTCTAGAAATGGTGGAAAATTGATTTGTAGTTGGATTATGAACATAGAAAAAAGTATATTCGAAAAACATACTAGAAGAAGAACAAAGTAGCAAGCCATTACAGGACTGAGAGATTTTGATACCTGAGGGGTCGTTGACGAAATTGAGCGATTTCAGAGATTTCAAATTCTTCTTTTTGGTGCCATTTTTGGGGATTAGGGTTATGAAATTGAATTTGAAATAGCAGTGTCTGCGGAGGAAGAGAGAGGAAGCGGATTTTGGGGGAATCCATTGGAGATGGAATTGATGATTGGAGATGAGAGAACACCCTCTCTTGGAGATTGATTTGAATCGGAAGGGTCATGCCTGTCTTCTTTAGATGAATGAGGATTTGTTTCAAGAGATCGTCGTCGCCGATGACTTGTTTGGTGCTTAGAGTTGAGTTGTTCATTGCGGAAGACAAGTGTCGATGTAGAGATGGCGGTGTCTCTTGCTGCCACCGTCGAAGGAAGCTATTCTGGGTGCAACGGTGCGGCGGTTGGTGCTCTTGCTGGTGGTAGAGAAAGCCATGGTGGTGTCGGAGGCTTTGAGGTTTGCACTTTTTTTTTTAAAATATATATTTTTTTCATTTTATTTTTTAATGAATTTTTTATAAAATTTTTCAAAAACTTTTTTTAGGTTTTTGAATTTACTCCAAACTTAATTTTTTTAATTCAAAAAATATTTTTTTAAAAAAATCCAAAATAATTAGAACTGTTTTGTTTCATTTTTAGAATTCTTTTAAAAGATGAAAAATTAATTTGATAAAAAAAATTTAAAAAAATAAGAGCACTCGTCATTTTTATGTTATCTTTTTGAGAAAAAAAAATTATTTTTAAAAAGTCAAAAATATAAATTTTATGTTTATATTTTTATTTTAAAAAAAATAATTTTATGTTCATTTTTATTTTTTCAAAAATTTAAAAATATAAATTTTATGTTTATTTTTTAAATTCATATGACAAATTCAAAAATTTTTAAAAAATTGATACAATTGAAAAACAATTTACTAAAGACAACAATTCAAAAAAAAAAGAAAACGTAAATTATTTAAGGAGCATTTACTAATAAATTATATATTCATGGCTTGTAGATCATTTAGTCCTATACATATTGGTATGAACTTATAAGGTTATGTTTAGTTTATAGATTTGAAGAGAGATTTAAAAATAGAAATGAAAAAGATGTGTAAAACATAGGTAGAATGTAATTATATTTCATTTATATTTCACTTACTTTTTCTCATTCTTTTTCCAAATTTCCCTCTAAATCCATAAACTAAATACAGTCTAAGTCTCATCTCCCGTTAAAATCTCCCAAATAAAATATACATACATTTGGAAACATAATAAAATAAAGTAATATTGGAAACCCATACATTTGTCCAATAAATTCAATCACAATGATGTGACAATGGAATTGGACCCTCAATAATGGAATGTGTAATAAATCAAAAGTTGACACCTATCATGACATATCCTTGTGGGTAGAATTGTGAAAATTTTTTAAGGGATCTCAAACATTTTCTAATAAGATAATAGTGCACACATTATAATGATGTCCTATTGTCCGATTGTCACATTTTAAGAATGACACATTTTACAAAAAAAATTAATAAGATAATAGTGCACAAATTAAAATGATGTCACATTGTCACATTTTAAAAATAATATATTCATCAAAAGTTTAATAAGACAAAAATACACAAATATGTCATTGTTATATTTTAAAAAGAATAAAAGGACCTCACAGTGTATCCTTCCAAATTCAATAGGACTTAATAATTTACAAGAAAAAAAAAATTCATATGACTTTCCAAAATATACTTTTTTGGGGGACTTTTGAATAAATTTTCTGAATGAACCCAAACACCCAAAAGCCTTGAAGCTGGGCTGAGAATTATCTAATTAATTCTACAGTTATGCTAATAAATCCTCAAGTTGTTGTATGGCTAGTTGTAAGGCTTCTTGTTTTATAGTTATAAGTCTATTTATTTGTGTGGTTTTCAAACTATAATGTACTAGAGATATACCGGAGGCAAATGATAACAGAAATTGATATCTTAATTTCGGATCTTCTAATTCTTGTATAAGCTCAGTACTGGATCTAATTTTAATTCTAAGTTTTTCTTCTAAAAGCATAAAATTTTGATTTTAAAATTTTTATATGAAAAATATTTCCTTGATATTTCTACTCAGGTTGCTCTTCTTATATCCTAAAATTCTTTTTTCTTATTTGGTAAAACTATTTTTAGGCAATGTTTGCTTTCATTACATGTACTCCCACCTTGAAACTAAGCCTCGTTTAATATAGTATATATTATTTTTCATTCCTTACCTTTTCCTTTCTGCCTACAATTTACTCTCAATGCCAAACCACGGCTCACACGGGTTCTTCAGCTAAGGTCACTCAGTAATGAAATAGAAAACAATTGGTACTATGAAGGTTCAAAGCATGTAATATTAATGAGCAAGTAAAAATTCTATAAACTTGGTTTTTTTCCAAAAAGAAAATAAATTTTAGAACAAAAGAGTTACCCTTTTGAAATATTTAGGGAAAAAGAAAGACTACTCACACTTCATATTAATATGTAATATACTTACAAAGATTATGTTACAGACTTTGAGATTCTAAAAGACTTAAACACTTAGAATTTTTGAGAGTCTAAGAAGTTGGAGAAAATTTTTGCAAAGAAGAGTGAAGGGAAATTTTTCATTGCTTTTTCCGTTGGCATGAATACCAATTTTTACAATATAATAGAAGGATAAAAACAAAAACCCAAGACCTAGACTTAATGCCTATTTCAAACTTACGGCTAAACTTTTTACAAAAGTCTAAAAACCTAGTCAAGCCTAGTCATAGGCTTTTCAAAAATTTCTACATATAATGACATATATTAAATACAAGGACTTTGTGCACAATTATATTGTGATGACCCTACCATGTATAGTAATTAGCACTTAATTAATTAAGGAAATTTGAATTTTAATTGTCAATTATTTGAATTTAATTTGAAATTTATGAAAACTTTGGAGACTGGTTCATATATAATTCTATTGAGGATTTATTTTGGAATTAGAAGTTGAAAGCCTACATTTAGAAAATATAATTGGTGAATTGAATTATTTTTAATTTCGAGTATCGGACCGTATGGTAGTTTTATTAAATATTCAATTCATATTTATAAAATTGAGATTTGATTAATTGGGTTCGAATTAGAATTAATTAAGTTATGAAAATTGGGAATTAAGGTCATTATGAATTAACTTTCTTTATGAGGCATTCAATTAAGGTATTCATTGAGTATCTAATTTATTGGCGAAGATTTTAAAGTTTAATTTGAAATTGAAGACCTTAATGATTCAAGAAACCAAAATTTAGGATGGAAATAAAATTAATTTAATAATTGGAGCATTTTGGGATATTGATTAAAATCTAACTCGGATTGATAAATTTAGTTATGATTGATTGGGACTTAATTGAAGTCAATTAGACTAATTAAGCTATGTAGAAAATTTATCGACCACGATTAAATATGGTTAATTGTGGTTTAATTGAGTTAAAGCGTAATTGGTGTGCCAAACTAATCCTAACTAATTAAGTTGATGTACAATTAGTAAATTAAGTTAATTCTAAATAATTACATAGTTAAAAAGAAGAGTTAGGACAATGGAGAAGAATATAGAATTCTTTTGCTAGAGGGTGCGTTTGGCTATATGTGAGGAGAGAGAGAGAGAGTGAGTGCTCAATTTGTCGTTGGTTGGAACTTTACAGAGAGAGAAAACCGTACGGAGAGAGGAAGAAGGAGATTCTGGAGAAGTGAAATCAAGAAGAAGAGAAGGAAGATAGGAAGAACAAAGAAGAAGGTGGTTTTGTGGGATACTAAAATTGAAGTTAAAAATTATAAAAATTCATTCTAAGGTAAGAAATTTCATCCCCTTTCTAGTGTTGTTTACTTAATCTAGACAAAAATTTATTCAAGGTAGATTTTGAGAAGATTAAAAATAAAGATTTGGGGATTAATCATAAATTCATAGAAATTGGATTTGTATGTTAAATCAAGTTAGGTTGAAAAACATCAGTTGTGATTCTTTTAATTTGTTAAATTTGGGTTCAATTTAGAGAATTATTCTTGAATTAAGTTCTATAAATTACATGTAACGAGGGATTATTAAAGATTTGACCCATGCAAATGAGTTAGTTAATGATTATGGAAATCAACTTAGAAATTAGTTATTTTGGGTTTGATTTTGCATATCTTATATGAATTTGAATCTTATTTTTACATGCATGTAATTTGGAGAAATTAAAGAATTAATTCATGAACATGGTTAAGGTTAATCAATATGGAAATAATTATAGTTCTTCAATTGAGTTTGGGTTTGGAAATCTTGATATATATGAGATGTAAATTTACATGCATCATAGATTTCTTGGAATTGATTTCATGTTTTGGTGAAATAAGAACTAAGCTTTGGAAAATTATGAATTTATAAACAAATGAGTTCAATTTTTAAATTAAAGGAGTTTTGATGTAAATGATTTAAAATTGATCATATTTCTTGATTATTTAAGAGTTGTATGTTTTTAGATAAGCCATGTATGAACCCAAGTCATGAAATTATTTTGAAAGCTCAATTCAAGTTTTAGAATTTGTGAGCTTGGAATTGGGCTTGATATGAAGAGCATGAATTGAGTTGAATTTGATGAATTTGAAGTTTGTATGTACATGCATGTAAAAGATTGTCATGAGTTTGCATATTTGATTACAAACATGCATTTTGTGATGAATTGAAGGTTATTTGGCACACACAAGCATGATAATGTTGAATTTCATGAAGTTGATCATCAATTGTACTATTTAAGTTGAAAATAAAGCCTACATTTTACATGCATGTATATTTCAAAATGATATGGAAATTAATCTGCATAAGCTTTGAAGTTATGAAGTGAGTTTGATATGATTCAAGTTTATGAGATGGATTTATGTAAATTTGATATTCAAATCTTGTAAAATTGACCCTTATATTCATGTTACAAGTTATATGGTAGAAATATGAGTCTCATGGTATTAATTACATTGGTTGGAACCAAGTTTTGAAGCTCAAACATAATTTGGAAAACCCAGAATTCGATATGTCCACTCGAGCATGGAGAGTCCCACTAGAGCGTTCCCTATTTTACTAGACTCCTCGCTCGAGCATCAAAAGTCTCGCTCAAGTGTAATTTGCAAGTAATTAGTACTTTTGCAGACCAAAGGGGTCCGCTCGAGCGGCCGAAGTTACGCTCGAGCAGAGAGTCCTGTTTTAGAAATTTTGAAAAGATGTTTTATGCTTCATTTTATGTTCTCTTTCATTTCAATGCACTCTTAGGCATGCACTAAACATTGTAAATGAATTAAAGAACATGAAAGGAGCCTAAGAATGTTAAACAAGTTAAAGAATAGAATGAATTATAATATGACCCAATGTGTTATGAATTATGTAGGGTCAAGTGCAGGGACGAATCAAGCACCAGAAAAATGTGAGTAATAACTCTGTATAGTTATGTTTAATTACACATATTTTCTGACTGATATGATATGATCTGTTTTCTAAAATGCTATTTAATGAATTAAGAATGAATGTCCATTTTTTTGAAATGCATTTGTGGCATCCTTAGTTCACGTGGCCCTCGCCCAGGGGTAACAATACCGTGGCCAATATGTACGTGGCCCTCGCCCAGGGGTAACAATACTGTGGCTTATATTCACGTGGCCTTTGCCCAGGGGTAACAATACCGAGGCCTATATTCACGTGGCCCTTGCCCGGGGGAAACAATACCATGGCTACTTGCGCACAAGATATGGACTTTTATGGTCGTCAGTACCGACTATACATGTAGGTCTCAGGACCAAGTTGATATGATTGCTAATGGGTATACCACGTATGATCTTATGCAAAATCTGAATATGAATATGAATATGAACATGTATCTGAATCTATTTCTGATTTGAAATCTGAATATGCATAAGACTCTGTTTTCGATAAGAATATGTTTCTGATATAAACTCTGATTTCTTGCTCTGTGATGGACATCATTCACTAAAACCCTTTACTCTGTTATTATTCACTGGGCTCTAGCTCACTGTATTATTTATGTATGTAGGTGATCAGGCACGTGATCAGGCTTAGAGGCACCTGCCTGGAATCTGTTTTTGTCAACCAACCTATGTGCCTCCCGTGGAGGTTCCAGATATGTCAAATGGCTATGGCTATGTGATTTAAAGTTTAAGTTTTGTTTTCTTGTTTGGTTAAACAAGTCTTTGTTTATTTTGTAAATAGGGCTATGTCCCTTTTTGTCTAATCTGTATATATATGATGACGTAAGAATGATGTGTAAATACGTATATAAAAAGTTTCAAATTTTTATGTCTCATATAAGTCTGCACAGCTCAATGGATGTTGTATTCTTGTTATTTGCTACTGCTAGCCCCTAAAAATATGTTAATATGTCTTAGAGGCCTTTGGTAATCTCAAGATTACTGGCCGGTTACGATGCTAAACTTATAGGGGCGGGTTTGGGTCGTGACATATATGCATATTTTTGACAAACTTACTACTACTCTAAACATAGATAAAAACAAATAAAGGGTTAGGATAATGATGTTGGGTACTGCTTTGGGCCCCATCGCACATCATTCAATCCTCTCATCTTGATAAAATTCTGATACCATAATTTGTTACAAGACACGTGTAAGGATTCTTACAGCTTTTCTTTAATGGAGCAGGGTAGGGGTCATCTGCTCTATTAAAGTAGTAAGTGAAGGAGAAGCCTTACTATTGACAGACTCAAATAATTACAGACACAAATAATTACAATAGTTGTTGTCGTTTTTTGGAGTGAATTTTGCTGATCGTTGAAGAGAGGCCTTATCTTCTATAGATTTTGTCTTTTTCTTCCGAGTATCTTGAAGCCAATAATTGATGTAGACATATGGATACTTGGATGATAGAGTGAACCTTCAAGGCTGATCTTCTGTAGAAAAAATTACAAAAATTCAAGGCTGATTTTATTTTCTCTTTTTTTTTTTCACCCATACATTCTGTCTGAAAGATCTTCAAGATCTGTTGTTGAGAGTTCCAATTAACTGGTTTATTCTCCTATTGGTTACCTTCTTCTTCCATTACTGGTGAATCATGAGAGACACTATGCTGATAGTTAGGGTAATAGCTTTCATCCACAAATGTTTCTTTGCTGAAAGGAAAACTTGGAATAGCTAAGTTACAGTATATCTTCTGATTTCTATCTTCGCAGACGAGATTACCATAGCTTCCATTATATGCTAATAAAGTATTACTAGCAAATTTCCTCCATTATTGAGTTGATCTCTGAGTGAACTTTCTGCATAGTGTAGACACCCCATTTTTGACCGTCCTCAAGACTTGGACGTCACCGTTTGAACACTCGGTGATCATCCATGTTTGTGTTCGTTTGGAGTTCCTGGAGGTCTCGGCTACGCGCGCCTTGCCTCAGGATCTCCGAACTCGACTGTTTAGTGTCTGGTTTTGCACCAAACACTTGTGTTTTGCCTTGGAGGGGCAGGGAATGCCTTGTGAGGCATCCCCACACACCACCGGCCATGGCCAGAGGCCACCGGCTGGTTTTTGTTTCCATCGGCAATCTATTTTGCCGGTCGGCACTTTTTGTTGCCGGTCGGCACTCACTTTTGCCAAAATGGCATCTTTGGCCGGCTGACTACTGTGCATCTGCTTTTGCAAATATTTTATTATAGCTGTCTTGCTTTTGGCTCCCCTCCATACACGTGTATGGAGGGATCTCTCTCTTTAGAAGCTTGTCTTGTAAGCTTTACAAGACAAAAGGCTCTATAAGAGAGAGCCTTCTCTCTTGCCTTAAGGGTTAAACACTTGAAACACCTTAGATATTTTTTAGACAGCCATTTTTAGGGTTTTGAGTTCAAGGGTTGGAATCCATACACTTTCTATCTCTATATCTCCCTCTTGTGTGTGTTAAATTGTGTTTGTGTCTTACTATTGCACACAAACACATAGTGTTTCACCTTCACTTAGCTACTGAGGTTCTAAGAGGTTGGTTTTGAAGTTTTGGAGCTGTTTTCAAGCCAAGGAGGGCTGTTGGAGCATCATTTGTGAAGGTGGTCTACAAGGGTGAGAAACTTCCCTTATATTCCCCATTTTTGCATTGCTTTTCTACCTGTCTTAAAATCGTTTTTGAACTTAGTGTATAATATAAAAAAGTTCTATTTTTTAGCCCTCTTGACTGTTTATTAAGAGTGTTTTGTGGTTTGGAGGTGTTTGACCCCTCTTAGGCCTTGAAAGGCCCCATTTTGTGCTATTTTGAGTGAGCTCTGAGACCTTGATGTTTGGGCCTCCTCACCACTGAAATCTTGAGGGATTTCAGTGGTGGGGATGGTGCTTTAAGGTCCTAAGAAGG